CGTGAAAATTATGGGCTATGCCGCTTGTAATTAACTCCTTAGCTGGGAAGGAGATACTGGTACCACCTGATCGTCATCTTGCGACTGTTCGTAAAAGACAGAAAACAGTAATCGGGGTTTCAATGTGGCCAGCTAGAAAATATCAAACAGAAAATGAACTGGTTAAACGTTAATATTCTTGGGTTATGTAAAACTAGGTGGGTCAATAATGGGGACTTCATAAGCAACAAGCACATGATCATATACGCAAGCAGAGAGAATTATGAAAGCGGCGTTGAACTCGTATCAAGGTTTGTCTATCGCTCGTTTCACGCGCTACCCGATTTCCTTTTAACAGTAGAAATTTATCCCCTGTTTCCTATTTCCGGTTTGGTTTCTGGTTCCTTCTAAAGTTTACTTCAACTCTGTACTTCTAAAATCTCTGCCTAAAACTCCGAATTTTTATTTACAATTTTTTCCTTCAATAGGAATAAACAGGCTTGCTGATCGTCCAATTCACAGTCCTCTCCGGTCTTTTGAACAGGGGTAGCGGTTTATCCATTGTTTCCTGTTCAAAATTGGGTTTCCGGTTCCCTCTAGTTTTTCCCTCTCTTTCACTTCCTGTGGCTCCTTGTTTTGGTGGCATTATCAGCTTGCTTGGGCGGGGGGAGGGGGTTACCTCTTACTCTGTGATATGTCCCGGAAAGGGATATATTTGTTCGAGGTAGAAAAGTGGTTTTGGACTACTGTAACCGAGTAGGACAATCTAGTAGGTAACTGTAATGGACTGGTCCTTGTCGTAGTGGGAGGTAATAGGCGTAGACCAATAGGCGTCCTCTTGTACCTCCACATCAGTCTGTATTTATGGCTGACACCAGTCAATCATATTACTGTGAGGGGGAACCCAGGTGTATGCATATTCATTACATCACTCTATAACCCTCTACCTCGAGAATTTTCGTTTAAACTGAAATGGAAACTATTTAATAATAATTATTACAGTTGTATACGCGCCAAGTGTATAAAGCATAAAAGACTTAAAATCAGAAAGAGACAACTGAAATTTCTGATTCTAGATAATGAGGAAAGAGGGTTTGAAGAATTTGATACTCTCAAGACATAGTGAAGTCAAGAGAGGCAGATGAAAACAACGAGTACCCGACTTGAGTTTGTGCAAATGAGTAGAACAAGAACTAGAGCGATAACAGGGGGACAAATATTACTTAGAGCAATGAAACATAGGAAGTTGTAGAGAGCTATGATCGCTCACATCCTGAATGGACATGGGAACATAAAAGAAGAAAAAACAAAAGGATATTGACGATAAGATATAAGGTCAGTAAGTTATCTAAAGTAATTTAAACACATTTGATACTTAAAATATTTGGCTACACAGATTAATGTCGGATCATGAATTTAATGAAGACTAGAAGAGCCTATTCAAATTCCACGATGTCAAACATAAGTTATTTAATAACACTAATCTCTTACTAATACCTGCCTTAATTCTTAACCAATGAGAATTCCTTACTTATTTTTAATGCCTTTATATAGTAAAGTCATGAAAAGAATTTATATTATGCATAGATTAGCCCAAATAAGCCACCCTCTAACTCCTCACTCACAGACGGGATATGGCAAGCCTCTTACTGCTCTATCGCTATTTAAATGGACCAACAGCATTCCTTGGTTCCGTCAGTTTTAACCCCGACAGCTGGGACCCGCCATGCCACTCACACTGTAGATAACCACCCTCATTCCCTACGTATTCCATTAGTAAGTTTGATTCGAACAGCTTCTTCTCACGAACAACTGCCCTGTGGAACCGACTCCTAAGAGGATGTTTCCCTGATCACTACAATCATGTTCAAGTCTAGTCTTAACTGTTACCTTCTCCTCCTATCCGTATAAACTGTGCCTCTTACTCTGTAACCGTTTACCTCGAGTGACTTTTGGGCTTTGTACAAGATGAACCTCACTGTAAAAAAATCTTTCCAGTAATACTTGCATTTTTTCATATTAAATGTATTTATACATTAAAATAATTTTCAGTGTAGTTCTATAATAAATAGGATTAAGAAATTTAATCTTTTAATCCCATGTGAACCCTGTCATTGGCGTGCAAAAACTAAAATATATTAGTATACACTAATATTAAGATGATATTAGTATACACTAATATTAAGATGATAGTAGTGTACACTAAACGTTTTCTACGTTGCTACGTGTGTGTAGTATTTTCGTTGATAAATTCCTCATTGTAATTGGTTTCCAAAAATAGAATTTACCTCTAACTCGATCTATTATATGTGCAATAAGTTAGCGGAGTAAAATGGTCAGTCTGGTTTGGTTTGTTTAACAGCACATCAACCCCTTATGGGTCATTTAATACCGAAATTTTTTTTTTTTTTTTTTTTTTTAAATGTATTGCTGGTAGTTTTCCCTTCCTTTTCCTCATCCTGGTATGACGATAAACTACATCCGGTAGCAAGGACTCTGCTCGGGAAGTTTTGAGGAGCGTGTGGTAGCACCTGTTAGGGTCCCAACTATAGGCAAATAGTTAGCCTCCAAATGGGGATCAAAAAACTATGAAAGTTTAAAGATAAAGTTTTATAGTAAAAATGCCAGCAATACATTTTTTAGAAAAAAAATTACCAGCAATCCATTTGACGCTGAACAAAAACCCTCTTTACATCAATGAAACATGATCCACAAACTGATTTCTTACAAAGAATACATATTCTATTCATACGAATCTATCCTAAAAATCTTGTCGGCATTAAATAATCCATTGAGGTGTTGATATGCCGTAAAACAAAATAAACCAATTTAAACTTCCTTTTCCAATATTGTATTGTTGGTAATTCTTTTCCTATGAAAATGTATTGCTTGTATTCTTATTACAAAAATTATTTTTATACATTCATACTGTTTTGACCCAAGTTTGGGAGGTTAACTATTTGCCTATAGCTAGGACCCTAACAGGTGCTACTACCCCAGGCCAGGGTAGACCTGGGAACAACAACAATTAAGAGATTTGTTCTACACTCCTCAAAACCTCCCAATTAGAAGCCTTGTTGTCGGGTGTAGTTTATCTTCCCAGTCAGGATGATAAACGGTCAGCAAGTTATCTAAAATAATTTAAGCATTAAGTGATCATGAGATTTGGTTACACAGCTTAATGTCCCAGCATGATTTTAATGAAGACTAGAGGAGCCTTTTCAAATTCCACAATTGTTTAACATATTATTTTTAATAGCCCTCATCTTGCCATAATTCCTAACCAATGACAATTCATTTCTTAATATTCAATGCTTTTGTATAATAAAACCATACAAAGAATTTATATTATCCATTAAATGACACGGTACTTCCAGCAATCATTCTCGGTACCGTTTCGATTTGAAAGCCAAGTGCAAAATCAATCTGATTTCTCATCTTCAGTATAGCTGCTCCTTTCCGAACATACTCATCTGCTCAGGTTTACTTATATCTGTTCAACACCCACAGAACTTTACTCTTCCATGCTGACCCATGATGTGACATAATAAAGTTAACTTAGTTTGTAACAAAACCACAAGATTGTGACAACCAATGAAAAGACTTACTACTCAATAGTAATAGTCAACCAGACATTTTATACTCACTCAATACAAGAGCCACTCGTGTCAAAGCCTTATTTAAGGGGTTATGTGATATGAATATAAGATGAGGCAGAAGGATGTGAAATTTATGAGGATAACGAAAATAGATAGCAATTGGTCGTTGACTTGAAGAGGTTAAGATCTTAGTGTTCAAGAAAGCATCCACGTGGGAGTTTTTTTTTTACAAAGTATCATTTCTTGGGGGGGAGCTCATTACAAATGGAATACTGAGGAAGAATAGGTTCTACTGCAGCTTAAAAACAGTGCAAGCTGTGTGTTTTTTTTTCCGAGATGAATTTGCTAGTCACATGCCCAAACAGTTTTGAATTCAGATGTCTTTCTTGTTGACAACTAAAGCTGAAAAACCTAGTCTGCCTTACTGTTTGGCTCTTATCTGGGGAGAGAAGAGATGGGTTCATGCCTTTTCTAAGAGTATTTGCTCGATAGAGAATGTAACGAACTCGACGGGAATTAGAATTCTTACAAGAGTCCATCAATTGATTTGGTTACTTAGAATCAATCTGGTCAATTAATTTCATATTTTCTTTTAGTCTCCTAAAATTGTTTCATTTACAAAAGAAAGACATTTTATTTTTTTTTTTATTTTTTTAATTATCTGTAGCTTGCTTGATAGCCGAAATAGCTTCATATTTTTACAAATTCCAAATTCTCATCTTCAATGAGGTCGGACCTTCATTACAATAAGCTGCATAACTATGAAAGCAGAAGCATCACATCTACTTGGACGGTTGGAGCAACATGATCTTCTTACCTTTCATTTACTCTTTTGCCGAAATAACCTGAGATTAGTAAATATCAACACATTTAGAATCTATTTTGTAGCTGAAATAATGGTTGATATTTGATCACAAGCAGATCGGCAAGCCGCTCACATTCAGAAAACTGGCGTAACATAATCTTCCTCCATCTACATGTCCCTGTGCCGTACTCGTCATTGGTCATGTAACCCATATGCGTCATAGTGGTACAACATTTACTGCAGCCTTAACAGCAGTGGGGTGTGTCTCTGGTAAAATAACCTGACATAGCCCATCCTTCTTCAGGCTATTAATCTTGTTGGCACTTCAAGGAAAGAAAGTTGATTCAACTCTATTATTTAACTCCTAGCTGAAGTGAGATTCATACCTTTCCCAAGAGTATTCATACGAAAATAAACACAACAAACTCTGTCGTAATTAGAACTCGACTCGCCGGTTTCCCTCTCGGCGTCGCTAACCATTAATAAAGTTAAATAGATCTTATAAAAGAATTGTTGAAGCGTCAACATCTAAATTTGCTTAATTTTCTCTTGAAGGTTCACTGACATTTCCTGTTTTCGAGCCCAAGACACGGCTTTGTGGCTCAACCTAACCCAACATGTCTGCCAAGGTTTATTTTAACGCTTCCTCGCTGGATATTGCGGCTAAAGGATATTTTACGGCTATAAAAGACGCACTTAAACCAGAAAAGTTTCATATCCAACCACCGACTCCTCAGCTTTTGCGAAAGGCCCAGAAAGCCGCAGGCGAACTCAGACGACCAATTCCACGTGATGCTCAGGGCAGAATTCTTCCACATCCAAGTAGAGGAACCAAATCCGACATTTTCAGGAAAGAAGACTTCTTTGAAGTGGACAATCATGCTCTGAATGTAAGTTAAATTCTTTCAAAATGATTTCAATTAGTTTATACTTAGTTGAAAATGTTTTCAATGTGAAATTTAATCTTTTATTTCAACAATTTTTAGATGCTTTGCTATTTGAACCCGAATGTTCACCTTAAATCTCACTCTCACAATGTTTTGTTGTGTCTTCTCGAAATTTCGGAAGCTTACAAAAACGTGGACACCTGAAGAAGGCTGAATGATACAATAGCGGAAACGTTGTGAATAAACCAACATAAACATTCTGGCTTGACTAAAAAAAAAAATCTAATAATGTTAATTCCTCATCTGGAAAATCTTCGACAAAAATTAACAAACATTTATTTACATTATTTAGATGTAGACTATTGACCTCATCTTTGTTGTTGTTATCCAATGCTCATCTCAGGAATTGAACTCACAATCACTATCACCAAATTCACGAATCAACGCTTTTATCCACAAGACTGTCTCGTGAGAAAATTCTGTGTGGAGAACTTGGAATCATAAACCTAACCTGCCTACTATTGCCTGTCATGCTTGGCTGCTGTTGCTGTGGAAGCCTTGTCATTTGTCTTTCTTTATTAGCACCTCCAATATCGTATTTATTTCTATGCTAATATACTAGGGATGTTCCCATAGACTAACAGGTAGCTAAACAAGGTTCACAATATTGTGAATTTGGTGACATGGTAACTGTGAGTTCAATTCGTGAGCCGGGCAGTGTGTACTTGGACTCAGTGGAATCGGAACGAGCAGTTATAGAGCATCATCACCATCATTAAAACTGTTTCGATTTGAGGTCATGAATTAACCTGTTCCTATCTTTAGTGACATTTTCTACTGATTCGACAATATTTTGCGAGCCTTCTCTGTCCTCTGCGAGTTTGCGGATTCGTTGCAGATCTTCTTTGATTGTAATCTTCTCCAAAGGAAAAGTGCGATCTTTCTGCCTTGTTCTTTGAATGTCTCGTTTTGTCTATGGTTGTTCTTGAATGACCTCTGAACTTTTTTGAAGTCCGTCTTTTCAAAGTAAAACTCCATGGCTTTGTTAGATGGGCATTCTGGATCCATTCTGTTTGTTGACATTTGTATGTTTTTCTTTTTTTTTTTGTTTTTTTTTTTACCAGTGAGCTGTATTACAGACACACGGTCAGATACTTTCCAACATCGATGTATATTATTTCTCCATTTGCTTTTGACAAACCCGTTTGCATAATGTTTGCATTCTGTCTCTAAACTTATCAGCTGGTGTTTGTTTTTGCCGATATAACTGTACAGACCCGGTTCGATTTTTTATTTTTCGAATATTTTCTTTCTCAGTATGCGACGTCTTAAATAAGTAGTTGTCGTGTAGCAGTAACTGGAGCAGCCATTACCTACTCCACCGAGCAGTACTAAAAATAAGAACTAGACGAGATGTTGCGAGACATGGGCAGTGGAACGAGAACAATCAACACCCGAAGATTAAATATAGGGTTCAGTTCGAAATTTCCTGTTAGGTTACCCAGATCAACATATACCTGATGAAGGCCGGGAGGTAGAACGGCCGAAATAATTTTAATAACAATAAAAAAAAAATTAAAAAAATGGTCTTTAATGAAACTTACATAAAAGGATTGCTTACCAAATATACACACACATCTATCATATATATATATATATATATATATATATATATATATATATAGTAGCGTCTGTTTGTTATCGAACTCCTCTTAGGGTTTGGAGATAGACTCCATAACCATATATTCTGAAACTACATTGTCCAGGGTACTTGTATAAGTATATTTCATTTGGATCAAAGGGGGTCTCCGGAGGGCACAGCCCCCACTGAAAGTTTTTTCCCCTTTGATATAAATTAAATTTAAATTTAAACAAGGGAATGATTCCTATCCAAAATATAGGAGAAAGCCAGAAGATGGAAGTCACATCAACAAGATGATATATGAACGTCAAGTTGAGCAAGAAATCGCCAATCAATGGGTAATGCTTTACAGTACATATTTGTTGCGACAATTCAACTGTCATATCAATGTTGATATCTGCTCATCAATTCATTCAATCAAGTATTGCGTCAAATACATATCAAAGGAGTCAGATCAAGCTGTCTTTGCATACCCCCCACTGACTATTTTTTCCCTTTGATTTAAGTTAAATTTAAATTTGAACAAGAGATTGACTCCTATTCAAAATATAGGAGAAATCCAGAAGATGGAGGCCACATCAGCAAGATCATTGAGTAATACTGAAATGCATCATTTTTCTCCGCCGATTATAACAATGATTTAAAAGCAATCATTTTCAAAATGTGTGACACGCAACAAGGTGTGGTTAATTCGGCTAGTATATTATAAAGACGTTTCCCGAAAGGTACGAACGGAATAAAATTAAGGAATGAGCTTAAATATATGTATTTAGTTAATTTCTTACATTTTTCTCCTTCATATTTGCTATGCTAATTTATAGTCTATCCACTCACGCAAGGAAAACAAGATTTTTAATGAAAATTTCAAATGCTTCAAAAATGATTAAAAAATATAATTAAATAATTAAAAAGTACTTTGACCTTTCCTCTTAATAATAACGTAAATATTTTGATGATAAAACTTAGTTTTTTATCAAGTTTGGGGCATTTTTTTCAACATAGCATGCTCTTTTTTCAACGAATTATTGGAAGTATCTAATCTAATTAGAAAAGCTTAAAATTTTTCTTTTTGTTCAGGCACCTGATTCCCTTTTGACAGCCAACATTGAAGAGCTGGTTGACTATTTGGTGAGTCCTTTCGAAAATGACGACGTTTCCACCGTGCGCGCCATTTTCCGCTGGATTTCGGGTCAAGACCTGCGCTATTATGAAAACAAACCAGAAGTTTCTTCCGACTGCGCCGCCTATTACTTAAACGAACTTAAAAAAGGCAAAGGTCGTTACGACAAACTCTTTAATCTTATGTGCGAGTAAGTACACACTTTATTCTTTGTTCATATCAACATCATAGTGTCCAATTATAAAATATCCGACTGCAGATCTTCAAATCCTTTTGTGAGGCTTGTAATTATAAACAAAAAAATACGTAACACCAAGGGAAGTAACTCGATGACTCTTTACGAACACACGCTAGAACTTTTAAATTGGTACAACAATTATATCCTCGCTTTTGTTTCGGATTTACTATAAACTTCATTTTTTTTTTTTTCGTTGTCCTTTCTACCATTTATGCATTTCATTACTGGTATATATTTTTTTCCTTGCAATGTTAATATTTATTGCAAGGAATCGACTGTTACATAAAAATTCAGGAACTCAAGGGAAACGGATAAAATAATATTGTTAAGCCATCATATATATATATATATGTATGTATGTATGTATGTATGGTGTCCTCGACTTACGAGATACGTTCCTACGGCGCGACAAAATCTGATTTTTCGACATAGGAACTCACCTACATAAGCATCCACGAGTCTTTCTTATAATGAAGGTCAAAAAGTTCCTCAAAAATGACACAAACGAGAGATTTTGAATGTTGGACAATCCAGTATGGCGTACAGCCGGAGAAAAATAATGCCGTCTTCCTCTTATAGCGCCGCGTGACGACGGGAGATGGCGCCGTAACCACAAAACGCTGTACCTCGGGTCTGACGTAACCCTAACCCGAGGACGTGTGTGTGTGTGTGTGTGTGTGTGTGTGTGTGTGTGTGTGTAATTCTCAAAATGTCTGTGATCGGATGTTGTTTATGCGTTTCCACAGTTTTCATCCGATTTCGATTAATTTTTTGGTTTGATAGATAATTCTTCAGTGCCGGTTTTGAATCCAAATTGTTGGCGACAATGGCTCTCCACTACTTCCTGTCCATTATAAATCTCAGCAACGTTTTACTATTTACTATCTGTTCTTGGATATATATATCTTCCATAGAAACTTTAATAAAATAAATACTTTATTACAATAATATTATCTATATCTATAATTCTCAAAATGTGTGTGTGTCTGTGATCGGATGTTGTTTATGCATTTCCACAGTTTTTACCTGATTTCGATGAAATTTTTTTTGTTTGATAAATAATTTTTCAGTGCCGGTTTTCAGTCCAAATTACACATTCCCTTTTCCTTGGCTAAATGGTCAACCTCTCTCAAGTGAGGTTACCTTTTACGTTGCATAAAGCCTACTACTAAACAGTTTTTCAGTCATTGCTTTCATTGTCGTTTATAGCTGTTCCCAATTTAATTTTTTTTTATTGTCCTGTCAGTTTTTGCATTGCATTCACCGTAGTAATAAGTAAGCTTGCTTTTTTATTACTCGACATTTATTTTTCCAAACTTTCCTAAAGTTATTTGAGCTTAGTGATCCCTGTAGGTTTACAATATTTTCTTCTGGTATTTGCCCACGTATTCCATTTGACAATTCATACTTGCCTAAGACATACCACCAAAGAAAAGATCTTGCCTAGGTTGCAAAATCGCTGCCGCCAGATCCGCATTGCAAATAAGAGATAACAAATCGTCTTTAGAACGTTCAGTTTGCCTGTCTCAAAATGCCTCTTGGAATGCTTCAATCAGAGCCACTGAGTCCGAAGATCAACGCAGTCATCGGCTTCCCAGAAGAGCATACCTGAACGCTTTTGCACACAAGGCTGAAAATGATGATCAAAGGACTCAACAGCTGTGGAGAAACACCTTTTCAACTGCTGATGTGCTTGAGGCTGAAACAAGATTGAGAATGCAAAAACGGCCTTTTAAGCACCCCCCTTCAAATTGTTAACCCCTCCATTTGGGAATGTACTTCAGTAGCACCCAATTGTTGTTACTAATATTGATTTTGGGGTAGGCTGACTTTAAACTGAAATTGCTCCAATTGAATGGTAAAAATTCCCAGTAATGAAAGACCCGGTCGAAGACAGATTATACTGCTAGTATATATATATATAATGCCGTAAAATGTGGTGTGTTCAAGCCTAAAAGTCTTTTTGAGTCACTGGTAGTGTACCGTATGTTTGGGGGTCGACCTCTACAGTAAGTATAGGTCTAACACAGAATTTTGAGCAAAATATTTTGAAGTCAACTTGTTCGCCACAATTTATGGTATATATCCTCATTTAACAAAGGAAGGATATTATTTCATGATATTACCCCAGACACCAGTAATAGAAATAGTAATCACCTTGCTTGAAGTATCGAAATCTCCAAACCACATCACCACTAGGACCAGCTGGAATACTGAGAAAAGGTGCTGGAGTAACGAGGAGACTTGCTGTCACTTTATATCAAGTAAAAAAAAATGACAATTCTTCTATGTGCCATGTCCTTTTAGAGTATAACCGATTATAGCTCTCCACAACTTTCTATCCTGTGTAACTCTTAGTAACATTTGTGTTTTTTGCCACTCCCATCCATTCACAGAAACTCATCACATAAGTAGCCTACTGCCTTCCCCTGTCCCTTCAGTATGTCCTTTGAGTACCAAATTTTCCGAGTCGTTCTTTCTCATTGTGTCTGAGGAATTTCAGCTGTTTCTTTCTGATTCCGAGTATAAGTGTTGTTCTGTTTCCATAAAATGTATTCGTACTTTTGTGTAAAAACTGAATGAATTCAAAATCATAATAATCATAACGAAAAAGAATCAATGTAAAAAAAAACAAATATAGAATGTGTGTCTCTTCCCATTTCTCTTAAAGAAATTTAATACTAAGACAAATGAAGTAAATATATAAAGTCACTTGAACAAATATAAAGAAAAACTATGATAATAAATTATACACATATTTAACTTACCATTTCAAATCGGGGCACTTTCAATATATTTCTACTGTGTCAGATCTATTACGATGAACAATTAACACATTAAAAACATGCCTACTATTTGGTTTAAAAATCCATTTCCCTGTTATTTTAAACTTAAAGCAAATAATGTTTTTTTTCAAGTCAGATTATTATACTTTAAATCAGCAAACATTGCTCAAATAAAGTTTCAGGAAAGTATATTTCATTTTTAAAACCGAAAAGTAACTTGTGTTTACAAATATGGAAAAAAATGATGTCTCTTAATGATTTTATTAAAAGAAAAAATAAAATCAATTCCAATCAGTATAATTTTTGTTGGAAATACACCAGAGGATTTTACTTTTGATTAAAGATAAAATGAAAGCTTCAAGAAAGGTTTTTAATTTGTTTAAATTAATTTAGACCTCATGTATCACAATTTTAGTGGAGTTCCCTAAGCATTAAGTCTTTTGCTTTGTAAAATCTCTTTGTGTTCATGTAATCTTTTAAATACCTAAATGTTTCCTCTATATCTTTAGGTATATTTTTGGCCGTTTTTTTTTTGTTTTGTTTTGTTTTTAAGAAATTGTAATGAATTTTATATTAACTCATTATTGGCAGACAATATATTATCTTGTGCTTGGCAATTTTTATTCCAACGCTGACCACAAGTTATTTCATTTTTTGGTCTTGTCACCAAAGTTACAACCACAATTTTGTTCATTTCTTTTAATGCTGGCAGGTATAAAAAAAAAATCTTACAAGCAACTAAAACAAACTTTTCATGGGTAACATTTATGGAAAATATAACACATAAATGAAGTGTTTGAAAATAAATTTTATTGCCTAAGTTGGCTATTTATATACGTAAAATAGTGGGCAGAGCCAGGATTAATAAAAGGACAAAGTTCGTTAAGGGCTAAAAAGGACAAGAAGTTGCGGAAAGCTATGAAGGCAGGTAATAACCAAGATTAAGTAGCATAATCTAACCCTCAGTTCCAAATGTTTGGCCTTGTGATAGACTCAACTGAGTAAAAAAACAAAAGAATTTACCTTGTGGATGAGATAGTTTCATATTTTCTACCAGTTTTAGAGGCTGGATTTCAAGTCAAGTTCAAACAGCAAAATTCTGAATGCTGCATTTCAAGATACAGTAGACCATTGGTTGTTTAACACACCGACTGCCAGCCAGGGGGTGGGGTTAACTTGTGGTTGTCAGATGTTATTACAATGCTGACCACGAGTTATCTCGTTTTGGTGGTCTTGCCATCAAGTCTCCAACCACAAGTTTTTTTTTGTTGTTTTAAAGGTAAATAATTGGTTCCTGGCATTTAAAACAGGAGTAAAAAAAATCGTACTGGAAACTAAAAACTTTTTATTGGAAACATTTATTGAAAATATAACACATAAACAAAATATTTGAAATTTTTTTTAATGCCTAAGTACGCTATATGAAAAATAGAGTGAACCATGCTCGGCATCACGTTACATGACAAGATCAACACCTTGAACAGACTAGATTGAAAACCATAATCAAGAAGGGCAAACATAGGTGGACTACTGACTATGTGTTCATCTCAGAGACAACAGGTAAACAAATTGGAGACAAAGACGGTTAAAAAGAACTAGAGGGTGGCCAAAGATAAGATAGCACAACAACCTGATCCGCCCCCACATAACCCCCAGAGGTAGGAGTGAGAAGGCCCTGGATTTGAAAGTTGACGTTTGAAGTCACATTTCGTAATTGACCTCTAGAGGTCACCGTGTTAAGTTTAGATAAATTCCTTTCTTTTGTACTTGTTATTGAGTTGGTAGGTAGTATTGTGTGACTCCTTTTGTCTTCTGTTAAGCTTGATGAAATTAGACACAAAACTACCAACCAAATCAATAATGACTACAACTGAAAAGAGTTCCTCTCTACTTAAAATTGCATTTCTTACAACTTCTTGCCACAATTCCTTAAAAAAAAAATAAAAGATCTAATTACCGTATTTGATGGCATATAAGGTGCACTTTTTTCTTTTTTTTTTTAAATAAAAATATCTTTTAAAATTCCCCTATGTCTTGTATGCCATATGTAGGTTAAAAATTTGTGATAGTTGGCCAAAGTTAGCTACCTGGCAACTCATGTTAGCTTAGACTTAAACATGAAGGATTAATGGAACGCCTGAATGGCAATAAGTAATCACAACCTTACACTTAAAGGAAGAATAAAAAGACCCAGCATTGCACAAGTCTGGGATAATATTAGACCAGAAATTGTTGTGAAATCTTTTTAAAAAAAGTGTGGCATTAGCAATAGTCTCAAGGGAACAGAAGATGACACATTATTTTATAACAATGATGGTAGTACTGAAAATGAGTATCAGTTTCGATAATGAAGACAATGAATTTTATGCATTTGAAGAGGAATAATATTTTAATAGTAATTGTACTGTTTTGCTTAATTGTAATAATTACTTGATATTTATTGTTTTCTTACCTTTGGATATAATGAAGTTTTTATAGACTCATGTTCATTTTTCCTATTACTTTTCATTTAATTGTAATCATGGCTTGTTTAACCAAAATAATATTTCACAAATATAGCCTAGGCTGTACCATTTACTAATAATTTTACTAATTGCTAATTTTTTCTTGATTTGCCCTACTGAAATTGGTGTGTGACTTATACACTGTCAAATATGGTAAATAAAACAAAAATAAGCAAAATAACAGCATTAAATCTGAAGCAAAAATTTACAAACACAACTGTAAAAAAAAGTCTCCAAAAATACATAGGTCAAGAACTTTTCAGCTCACCTTGCTGTATATGTTTGTCAAGCCAAATTTCAATCCAGGGTTAAATTCATAGAGCATTCTGTGAAAAGCAAATTCTGATTTCTATATCAATATAGCACCTTAAATATATCCCACTCCTTGTCTGAATCCCCTACATACACCATATGCATGGGGGAGGATTAAATATAGCCTTATTTTAAAGACCATTTTAAAAATGGTACAGTTGTACATGAATGATTTTTGAATAAAATCCAATCTGATATTTAAAAAACGTGTGTGTGTTATATATATATATATATATATATATATATATATATGTGTGTGTGTGTATATATATATATATATATATATATATATTATAAATTAATTGATTTAAAATGTTTTTTCGCTACACAGTTCTAACCATGTTTCAAAAATGGAAGCCTGTTAGGGTCCCATTTTTGAAACATGGTTAGAACTGTATACCCAAAAAAATATATTTTAAATCAATTAATTTATAATATTAATGCTCTGTAAATTTACATTGAGCACTATTTTGTAAAAATAAAAATATCCATAAGAACACCAGATTATATATCTTACTGTTCTTTCTTTTTATATATATATATAAATTCTAAATACTGTAAATAAAAATGCTATTTAGTTGAAAACCTACAAATCCTCGTTGCTTTCACTATCAGTTGGAAAAGAATCAAACATTTCATCCTTGAATCCAATATTATGATCAAAGAGAATTTTATCCTTACTCTTGTTCATTGTGCTACTGATACCACACTTCTTAAATGACTTCATCACTATATCAGTTCCCATGAATTCTTCAACCAGTTCTGTTTTTAGCTCATTTTAATTTTCCTTTAGTTTTTTGATTTTTATGGAAAGGAATACCAGATGAGGAGAGAAGATTTTTCTTTTCAATAGGACACCCCCCCCACCTCCAACCAGACGTTTCAACTATTTTTTAAAACTAAAATAGCGTTCCACCTCCAACTATACATCCTTCTTCAGGTAGATTAACATAGACACCACTGGGTAAATTATTCATACATTCAGTGTATAGGGCACAGATTTTGATATCAAATTTAGGGGTTAAAAAGTTTGACATACTACATTTTTCAGTGTAAAAGACAAAGGAAAAAGGAAACATTCATAGATTTATATATAAAAGGTGCTTCACAAAAGTCTATAAAAACTGACAATGGAAAAGATTAATCTCACACCTAGTTTCCACTGTTTTCTTCAAAACATTCCATTTTATGCTTGTACACAGCTATCTCATAAAAGCGTACTGTTTATAAACACTACCAACAAATGTTTCTACGACGTTCAGTTCGTGTCCTGGGTAAGACGTTAAACTACGTCCAGCAGCAAGGCCTCTGATCAGGAGGTTTTGAGGAGCGTGGAACCACCTCTTAATTGCTGGTGTTCCCAGGTCCACCCTGACCTGGGGTGGTAGCACCTGTTAGGGTCCCAGCTATGGGCAAATAGTTAACTATTACCAGCAATACTTTTTTGAAAAAAATTATTACCAGCAATACTTTTTTGAAGGAAATATATTACCAGAAACAGATTTTTGAGAAAACAAAATATTACCAGCAATAAAAAATTTTTTCGGCATTAAATAACCCATTGAAGTTGATATGCCATTAAACAAAATATACCAAGCCAAACATTCAGTTCTTTTGTGCTGTTCAAATTCCTCAAACGTATTGGTAGCACTTCAAACATATAAAATTGCTTCTGACATCTACATTGTAAATGTATAGCTAGATCACTCACACTGACGTTCACTGGATGGATAAGCATGTGTTTTAGTTTCTGTCTATGTTGATATGAGTAAAAACTGGGAGAGGCCCAGTGTACATTAAAAAGAAAAAAGGTATGTGAAATAACACCATGGTTCAAAGAGAAAACACAAATACTGTTTTCATTATATAGGTTATTTATTCACGCTTCACCTGGCACAGGCTTTGGAAGCAGCTCAATGACACTTAGGACACTTTCACTGCTACTGCTCTCTTCTGTCATGACATACTAATGAACCAGATCTTCCCTTCAACAGGTGAGAACTCCAACTGACCCTCTTTGTCCATCTCCAGCTGAAATCTCTTAACTACATGACTCTCTACATCTTTGACCCATAGCACACCACTCACGAACAGCTAAACTGTAACTGATTTATTGTAACTCTGTCTATATAAGCTTATGACCAGAATTTCCTAACTTCCGGCCAAGTGACACTTGATCCTGAAAGTTTTCAGTTATTCTATTTTATTTCCTTTTTGGGTGCTTGCATTGAAGATCATACATCTAGACCTTACTGTTTATGCAGTCATAAAAACAGCCACAATTATGGTTAGATAAAATCATTCACAATCCACTTTACTTTTTGAGTGTTCTAAATCATATGGAACCATTGTATCACAACAAGAAGTCTTGTCATTTTTACGTTTGTTTCTCATTTTCTATGTTTTAATGTTTTCACATAATAATTCATGTTACTTCTGTTTAAATATTCTGCAGATGATGGAAATAAGCATCGAAATATTAAAACATTTCACCCCATCTTGTTTACCTACAAATTGTTTTAATTACTTTCACCTCTTGATTAGAAAATATTTCTTCAGAACTTGAAATTTAACTTAAAAATTTTTTGCATTAAAACACTTACTTAATTCCAAGTTTTAATTAAGGAATTTATCATAACTTTCTGTTTTTAAATTGCAGACATGCTAGAATTCCATCAGCAACAATCAGCGGACACTCCAAAGGAATTGGTTATAATGTGGGAGACCCACTGTCCCCAAGCACCCGAAATATGTGGAATGCAGTTTTGCTGGGTCAGGATTGGTATCTGATTGATGTCCACTGGGCCTCCAGGAAAGTATCTGGAGTGGAGGCTGAAGAATGGCAACTTATCGAATTCAACCGACAACAATCAAAAGAGATGTCCACTCCGCAGGACATATATGAATTTGATGAATTCTACTTCCTCACTGACCCTGAAGAGTTCATTTACAGCCATTTCCCTGACAAAGAAGTTTGGCAGCTCCTTGCACGACCAATGACACATGCCGAGTTTCAAAAAGTCATTCTTTTGAAACCAAAATTTTTCCAGTTCAATTTGAAAGTTAAAAGCCACCCTTGGTGCACTTTGAAATCTGTAGATGGTGCTGTTAATATTGAACTTACCACAGAGAGAGAAGACTTGTCCTTCTCTTATGAATTATACCGGTCAACCAAAGTAAACTCTGGCCAACAAAGATTGCAAAAATATCTCTTTCTGGAGAGGAACCCTGAAGAAAAAAAAGTGTGCATAGAAATAAACTTTCCCACTGCAGGGAAATTTAAGGCTGAAATCTATGCGAAAGACTCCAGGAGCAAATTGGAATGGCTTTGTTCATATGTATTATATTGTGAAAAGCCCGAGCCTAATTGTATGCCATTACCCACAAACCAGAGAAGTGAATGGGGGCCTGGTGCTGACATGAAGATGGCTGGTATTATTCCATTGACACACAAGAGAGGAAAAATTTTTGTAGATAGTGTAGAGACTCAGGTTAATTTTCAACTGAAATTTCCTGTTGAACTGATTGCCCAATTGATGACGGTCAATGAAGAAAATCTGGATAACTATGTTTTGCTTGGTGTAATGGATGACACTGCCACTGTTTATGTCAGAATACCACAAAAAGGTGAGAATGTTTATATACTCATGTAAGTGTGTGTGTATGAAAATATATATATATATATATATATATATATATATATATATATATATATAAAAAATGAATATCTAAGTTATAAGAAAATGTTTGAATTCATAGCTTCCTGTTATTTAAAATATATAATGCATAAATTAACCCCAAACTAAAATAATTGCAATATTAATTACATAAAAAAAGAAAAATTCAATATCAAAATCATTTACTCACTTTCATTTATTAGACATTAAATTACATCACTTAGCATCTTCCATAATTTACCTCAACTTTTCAGTTAACCTAATGAATATTTATGGGCTTCTCTTAAATTTAAACATTTTCAAAAACTAACAACAGTTTTACTTTTCTTTATAAATAGTTGTTGCAAAATAAATTCTATACACTTTTCTTGATAAAGTCCATCAGAGAATTAGATGCATTGGCTAAGAGAAGTTTTCCTTTTACCATTATATGTAATCATTATTATTATTATTTTATTTATAATACTAAAAAAGGTGAGAAAAATGTTTTAGATATATAATTATATATAACCTCACTGTTTTTTTTTTATATATATAAAAAATATCAAAAAGTTGAGAAAATGCTTTAAAAAGTGTAATTATTAAAAATGTAATGAAATATTTAATCACATATATTATTATCAAATATATAATACCACAAAAGATAAGAAAAATGTTTATTTATATAATATATAGTAGCGACTGCAGTAAAGCATAATCTTTCAACCTCACATTATCGAACAAGAGTAACTGAGTAACACAATCCCAAAAACAGTTACCATAAATAGAATAACATCATCTACTGAATTATTTATAAGTTTTTATTAAAAGAAATGTTCATAAGACAGATTTGGCTATGAAGAAGGGGGAGATAACATCTCCTGTCAATACCTCATAAATAATGGACTATTCCATTTTCATTGCATAGAAAAACAAGCCGTACAAATGAATGTAAGGAAAGATAGATGTGTTTAACGGCTGTTACAAGGAAATAGAAAAAGTTGTTAATTTCAAATCTTTTCATTTTTATCCCCTTACTTCTTAAAATAACAACCAGAATTCATATTTATGATTGTTATTGCAATATTTTCTTAAAGTTTTTAAGCTCAAATATTTAATGATGTGTTAAGGGAATTTCTATGGTTGTTTTATTATCATCATAGAACTCATGAGCTTTATCAATTAACTGAAGAATTAAGATTCATCAGAAAATTTAAAATAGGTTTCTTTCTTTTTACCAAATTTCCTCGCCTTTCAGTCCTGGGTATGATGATAAATTACATCCAGCAGCAAGGGCTCTGATTGAGAGATTGGAGGTTTTGAGGAGTGTGGAACCACATCTCAATTGCTGTTGTTCCCAGGTCCACCCTGAGGAGGTAGCACCTGTTAGGGTCCCAGCTATGGGCAAATAGTGAACTGCCAAACAAAAACAAAAAAAGAACACTATGAAAGTATAGAAATGCATTTTCATAGTAAAATACTAGTAATACATATTTATAGAAAAATGAGCAACAATATATTTTATCTGGAGTTGAAAGCATACAACTGCATTCAAAATATTTAGATTTCAACATTAAATAATCCATAGGTGTTGATAAGCCTCTAAACAAAATCGACCAACCAACCAACCAACATGAAAAAAACTTTCATGACATTAATCCACATAAATCCTACAATATCTTAAAGAAATCAAACTGTATTCCAAAATATAACTTCAACAAAACTACAACATAAAACACACACATCACAGCCTCTAGTAATTATGTCCACACAAACATGTATATGCCCAAAAGCCGAGTATCATCTACCATGTATTCAGTTGTGAAAGTAGAATAACATATATTTTTATTACTTCAAAGCTCCCAACAAATTTAGATTTCGGCATTAAATGATCAGGTGTTGATCTCAATGTTCATTTTATATATATATATATATATATATAATGAAATGTTATAAGTCCAACAATTGTTTTAATAAATTTATTGTTTATACATTATTTTTATAGATAAATTTATTTAAGTAAATGCTCTGTTTATAATAAACAGTATTAACATTTACTGACCTGAATGTCTGGGAATTTTCATAGAAAACATGTGTCCTCCGACAGGAAACGAGCCTGTATCCTACACTAAATAGTCTAGCACTTCAGGCTATATGACAGTTCTGTGAAGGATACAGGTACAATACCTGTTGTAGGAAACACATTTTCTATGAATTTTCTCAGACATTCAGGCCAGTAAATGTTGTTAATACTGTTTATTATAAACAGAGCATTTGCTTAAATATTTAAAAATAATGTATAAACACACACACACACATATATATATATATATATATATATATATATATATATCTAATAATTATTTTTTAAAATAAAAAAAAAAATACTAAAGAACTTTGGATTATTTACCTAACACACACATATATATATATATATATATATATATATATATATGTGATCTTTTTTTTGTTTTTATTTTCTTTTTTTTCATTTTTAATTTAAAGCAACCACACACATTTTTAATCTTTGTATATTACAAATTATACAATACTTAGAAATTTGCAATAATGAAAAAGCTTTATATAATGTAGACAAAATTAGTTGGTTCTAAATTTAAACCTTGTGATGCTTCTATACATGAATACATTCCACAGTTTGGACAAAATTAAGGAAAACAAAGGGTAGCAAATGATACCAACCCCCAAAGTGGACTTTTCAGTCTGTTTTTAAAAGTGGAAAAGGCACTGGACTACGTTGGTGAGATCTCAAATGGGGTAATTTGAAGAGGACTAGGTTGGATACTTTTTTGTTGATGTTAAATGGCTGCCAAATTTTTGAAAAGATCTTGTAAATTATGATATTTTTTAATATAATTACATTTTTAATTTTTCTTCAAATATTGCAGGTCAATATGCACTCTGTATTTTTGCCAAAACTGAACCCAACCAGCAACAATTTGTTAACATTTGCAATTATCTCATCAAGTGTTCTGAAGACTTTGGTAAAGTCAAACCTTACCCCCAAACAACTAACAGTCGGGTTGGCCCACTAGATACCTTCCACAAATTGGGTTTAAAAATGAATGACCATCTTTCAGGATTGGTGAGTGCCTCAAGAGATGGCACATTTACTTTCAGTGTCCTTGTCCCAGAAGGAATTGAGTATTTTCCCAAATTGACTTTGAGCACGAAAGATGACTTTTCAGAGTACGTTGATTGGTATCGATGTGATGGTAGCGTGAATTTCAGTATTCGATTCCCCAATGCTGGTTTTTATAAGTTCAATCTTTTCGCCAAAAGTGAACATGATGAAGGTAAGTTACTTTCTATATTTTTAATTCAATATCAATAAAATTGCCTGTCTACAGGTTTGCTTATATACATGCAAATCTTACATTTGTTTATCTAAATTTTATATACACGCAAATCATATAGCAGCTCAGAACAAGATATTGTAGTGTCAAGTTTGAATTCCAGTTATTGCATTAATACCCTTCTGAAAGGCATGAATGCCTATTCTTGCCCCACAGCTATGGGTTAAATATTAGAGCTTGTATCAGGATTAATTTTTCTTTTTTTAATTCTTATCAACCTTTTGTGGTTTATTTAAAGCCAAAATATATTTTGGATTGTAGGATGTTGCTTACAGTAGCCAGTGTTTCCAAGTCCCCCATCCAAGTAGTGACTGGGATCAACATTGCTTATTATCAATGGCTGAACAGAAACCACTGTTTTCTGTGCTTGTATCTGGAAAAATCATTGTTATTCTCAAAATATTGTTAATGCAATATTCACTTGCAGAAAAAGAATTATTCTTACAATATAAAATGTGTTTTGGCTTTAAATAACCAACAAAGGGTTGATAAGCCATAAAAAAACAAATAAATAAACAAATGCAACTTGTATATACATGCATAATTTGTTTATCCAAATTGTATATAAATTCAGAATTCATTTACCATAATCTTACATATATGCAAATCTTACATACATCCAGAATTCACTTGCCATATTCTTACATATATGCAAATCTATTTATCAAAATCTCCCTGAGATAAAGCATTTGACACAAGGTGTTTTTAAGATTCATTTTATCGCCCTTTAACTCCCCCCCTTTAACAGCTTTGAGTATTTAATTAATAATTTTGTTTGAAACGTTTTGTTAGAATTTTTGTCCAAAACACACTAGAAAGTATTGACTTGGAACAGACAAAAAAGTAACAAAAAAGAATTTGATCTTCACTGTGACCTCAACAATGGTAACATCTTGTTCTCGAGAGCCCTAGCAATCAAAGCAGGTGTCCCCCACTTCTTGGATCAACCTTCTTTCTATTTTACATAAATGATTTTTATACTTCAATCATTTGTGAATATCTATGTTACTGACACAACAATATAAGGGTGCACCTCCCAAATTCTAGATGACCAGAGGTTGGCAGCTGATCTCTTGCCTGACCTATCTCTGACAGCTCATTTGGAGTAAGAACTGTCTAATCACATACAGTGTCTCGAAAACCAATTAGTGTCATTCCATCATCATTGATTGGACCAAGAACTATCACCAATCACAATGAAAGGATGTTTCCTCAGGGAGGCCCCGTGTCTTGAGTGCCTCAATCTAGACCTCAAGTGGAACTTTATACATACAACCCATCACTAAAGATACTGTAAAAATAGTCGGTTCCCTATATTGCTCTAGTAAGTACCCAACTCATTCTGTGCCCAATTGTTGTATAAGTAGCTTCTTCCTACAAACTGCTGCTCGTGGCACCAAATCTTAAAGGATGCTTCCTCGATCACTACACTCTTAACCTGGTCACGTCTAGGGTTAACGGTAATCATCGCTACATATCCACATTAACTGTGACTCTTAATCTGTAAATCTCTCTCAAGTGTCTCTCGAGTCTTTTATAGAGCGAACATCATTGTAACAAAAAAGAAAAGAAGTTTTCGACTTCTCTGTGAAGCGTAATATTGCACTTCATTGCACACTGGTGTTGAAAAATAGGTACACATTTTGGTTGAGAAATACAAGATGGAATGGTAATATTAGCTGTTTCCTTATAAGGCAACATTCACCATTCATTGACCAAGCTGCCAGTACTATTGTCATTTTTAAATTTGTAAAATCATTCTCTTAAGAAAAGGAAAATAGGTTTCTCAAGTCCAGTAGCTGTTATCACATTTTAGCCAGTTAAAATATGACGTCTCAATTTAATCTTCTTCCCGAAGTGGACCCGTGATTAAAAACACAGCATGGCTAGGAAGTTGGAATGATATCAAGGAGCAAAGATGAGATGCAACTTTTCGAAATGGAAAATATATCTGTCTCACTAACTCTGTCGCAGGCTGCTTTGTTCTTACTTTCTCCCTTGCACGTCCCTTTCATCACAAACATAAAATGTATCCACAAACACATGCAATGAAGTCTTGAAGAAAACTCTTTTTTTATCAGTATTTCTGAGATGAGGCATTATGTACACTATTTATATCATTTGGACTATTGTCCTCATCTTTGTTGCCATATTTATCACATGGCACAGTGGATAAAGGTGTTGGTTAGATGCAGTGACAGCATAAGTGTAATACATGGTTAAGTCAGTGCAGAACTTGGAGAGGGGAATTAACAGGAGATAACTGACATCCATTAGACATGGCACATGGAACTAGAACAGTCTACCCCAGTGAGCAAAATAAAGGGTTCAGTTCGACATTCCAACCACCTGAAGAAGGCTGAAACATTGTGATAAATATGGCAACAAAGATGAGGAAAATAGTCCAAATAATGTAAATAGTGTCTTTTTTTTTATCATATCTCCAGAAATGTATTCAGTTAAGCCAACAATGTTAATTGTCATTACATCCAACTACCAGTCATATCTTATTTGGCAATTTCCACTTAAAAAGGCCAACATTAAGCGACTGTAGAGTATTTTGTTACAAAGGCTAGCCTAGCACATAATTATTAATGTAATGAATTCTATCTTCACTGAGTGTTCCATACTTGACACCTTATGCCAGCAAATATTAATATAGATAAGGCCATAACCAACTGTGTTTTCAATCTGTTTTCAATGGGAGACTAATCCAAATTAAAATAATATGGGCAAGCCCATTCACAAGAAAAATGTTCTTCTGGTGCAACTCTTCTTTCTTGTTTCTTGATAGGTGGCTATCCGGAAGTTCTTTGCCTTGTCTTGGAAGTTGTATGGCCTATGGTTGATTGTTTGCCATTTCCAAAGAAATTTGCCAGTTACAAAGATATTTACCGAATTGTCAAACCAAATCAACGACTGCTTGCTATTGGCAAAATAGAAAAAGTGAATGTCTTTTTGCCAGATGCCGAAGAAGTTGCTTTCATTGATGGTGGATCATGGACTCGTCTTGTGATGAACGAGAATGGTATGTGGGAAGGGCAGATAACTCCAGTCGGAACAGCAGAGACAATTTCTATGGCAGCAAATCTGTCTGAAACCGGGGCGAAGTTTTCAGCAATCACGTCATTTGAGGTGAGTTTAATTGGGCTCTTTTTTTTTTTTTTTTTTAACTTCAGTGTCATTGTTTTTGTCCTGATGTGTCTTCTTTCTTTGACTGCAAAAATACAGACAGGCATCATAGACTTAGGTGATTAACAATGCCGTCTTCCAGGATCCCACTCTGCACTAAATTAAACTTAGTCTCATATATATATATATATATATATATATATATATATATATATATATATATAGGATAGTATTATTAATTCAATAATACTATAAGCATTCTTATTCTTATACTCTTATTCGACACCCATTCATTTTTCTGTAAGGCACAAATTACAGCCTCCACTGGCTCTATTATATAGTCTGGATTTAACCAGTACTTTCTATATGATGGTTGGTGCATTTTTATGCTGGCAGTGAAAATTTGGATATTTTTTATGCTGTTCATCAATCTAAGCTTTCAGTTCACATGGGCCATCATCAGAGTGGTTATAAAAAAATATCCAAAATAAAAATGAGGCAGTTGGCCACTTGAAGAGTTATCATCAAGGTAACTAAGGAGTCCCATCTGCCAACGAAGGCTAATGAAGTTTGACTACCTTTATTCCAAGGTGTAGCAACCTATGTAAGGCAGAGATGTTCAACTCCTGAGGTATTTGATATACCCGCATATATATATATATATATATATATATATATATATATATATATATATATATATATATATATATATATATATATACAGGGTGATTGTAAAGTAACTCCCCATTTTAAAATAGTTACAATTTATTTATTAACTATAATTTTTACAAGAAATGGATATACGAGAAAAGCTTTATTTAAAATTGGATATGGACACCAGATTTCGCTATCAGGTTCTCAAGTCACCCAGAAATCATGTCAACTGATTTCACTAGGAACTTTTGTCAAAGTCTTGGTCTGGTATAATAGACTTGCTTCTTTAACCAATTCCAAAGAAAAAAAGTCACAGGGTGTTAAGTCTGGATTCCTGCCTAGCCACTCATATATAAAATGGGGAGTTACTTTGCAGTCACCCTGTGTTTGTTTGTTTGTTTGGGTGTACATATATAACGAATGGATAAATATAGTTACGTATATGAGTGAGCGACTGTATACAAATAAATAGTCTATAGTGTAAGAAAAAACAGTGCTCAATGTTAAATAACAGAGCTATTTTTTATATATATACTAGCAGGAGAGCCCGGTGTTGCCCGGGGATGTAACAGTAAGAGATAGATCAAGTATTGACCATCATAAAGGCTGAAAAATAAAATTGACAAAGATTATTGTTTAAGATTGACGGACACGCATGTCTTAATTATTATTATTTTATTTTTTTTTTACGAATTGATCAAACCCAAACTCAAACAAAAACAGTTTTCAATTGTTATGAGTCTACCGATTGAATAGAATTTTATTATAAACAATTATCTTGTAAATGGAATTTTTAAAGCATTCTGAATGTAAAAATAAAGAAAAAAGTGTGCAAGACAATAAGAAACACTACCTGCCAAAAAAAAAGTGAACTTTTGTTGAAATCAGTTGAAAAATGTAGGAAATCCGATCCCATATATAAACGAACACACACACAAACAACCTGGGTTTTAAGTATAACTCGATATGAGTTGTCCCCCTTTCATTTTCGCGATGCCTCTTAATCGTGTTTTCAAACTGATTTCGTCCAAAAACAATTGTGTTTTTCCAATTTTTGGCGCTGTCAGAACCACCGCAAGGAAATTTTACGTAGTCCTGTGAAGTTTTGTTGAAATAGGTTGAAAAATGTAGGAAATTCGATCCAATATATAAACGTACAGACACACACACACAATCTGCGTTTTATAATAAGTAAGATATATATATATATATATATATATATATAAAATTATTTAGATTTTATATATATATATATATATATATATATATATATATATATATATATATATATATATATATAAAATTTAGATTTTATATTTCTTATTTCCAACCTCAATGTTAATCTGAGCTTAAATTCAAAATTAAACTACAATTCATTTAAATATTTTAACTACAATAATATTCCGCCCCAACAATAATATTGTGTGAAACACAAAATTAAAATAAAAAAAGTGTCAGCCCAAAATATTCATAAAATAAATATGATAATTCCAGCACTTGAAAATTAATCTTAAGATATTATGTATTTTTCTTATATATATATATATAATTTCTAATTTCCAACTAAGTTATGTTAGAATTAACTTTACAAAGTTCATTTATTGATTCCATCCGATTGTTTACAACTAACACTACAGTCATTATCATGAAATTATGTGTTATTAGAATTGCGTATTTCCACTAATTACATTGTTTGAACTGTTGTCCTCATCTTTATTACCATATTCAGGACATTTCAGTCATTGTATGAATATGGCAGTTAAGATGAGGAAAACAGTCCAAACAATGTAAATTGTGTAAATACTTCCTCTCAAAAATATAGACAGATGTTAGAATTACGTGTTTGGCAAATTCCATCATTTCTTAGCCTGCTGGAACCAATAAAAGTCACTTCAAGTTTTTTATTTATTTTTCCTAAGTTCTAGCAAAGTTATGTCAGAACTCTGATAGATACAAGAAAGTTATTACTGACATAAAACAACTTAGTTGGAAGTTAGAAAAACTAAATAAAAATTAAAGTGACTTTAAATTGGTTCCAACAGGCTAAGAAATGCTGGAATTTATTAAACACATAATTCTAACATATATACTAGTGGACTCTTCTGTTGATTTTGATGCCCGAGGATCCAAGAGCTCTGAACCTTCAGACTATTGACGCGGTTGATTTGATTATAATGGTAAAGGCTTTTGCAGGAAAAGCTAACTATTTTGGGAAGAACTGATAATAGAGAAAAAATGTAAAGGGTGTTTCATTAAGACGGATCAAAGTCAGCAGTAAATCAGTGTTATTGGTGAAAATTTATTTATTTCTCTGTTGGATCATGTTATTTAAGTCATGGCAATTATGTGTGAAAAATAATGTTGCCTAAATGTCTGCCAAATCTGAAAGAAAAAGAAAAAAAATAATTAGATGCTTAAAATTAATCACACTTAAGATAACACAAATATGTCCTTCCCTTACTTGATTTTCTCCACATATATATATATATATATATATATATATATATATATATATATATATATAAAAGGCTCAATAATAGAGCAAAGATTGTAAGTTGAAAGCATGGCTCATGTTCACAAGAGAAAGATGGAAAATATACATATGTGCATAAATGTAAGAGTTTCAGCTGTAGCGGAACATCTGATTAAAGTAGTAGCGTGCCTGGTTTTATGGCCTAGACATGTTCTTAGTGCTGATTCCAAGTATCACTTGAAAAGTTTGGAGTCAGTGTATGTAAAGACCTACCAGCCATCTCTTTGTAAGCAGAAGGAGTGGGTGGTGGGCTTAAAGATAAGCTTTAAATTAAAGATTAAGTCTTTAAATGTTATATTGTTTGTTGCGAATCTTTTATGTCCATTTTTACCGCACTAATATAATATTGTACAGGATTTTTTTATTTTTTTATTCTTTAGGTGATTTCTGAGAAAGATTTAAATCACATCTTCTTGGCCCAAAAGCTCTCACGTGAAGAAGCTGACCAGGAATACTTAGAGCAAATGTCTCTTCAAAATAATGCCAGTAAAAAGTCCCAGGGTAACGGTATGATGAATCAAATTCAACGAATTGCAAAAATGAAACAACAAAACTTAGATGACGAAATGTTGCAGCGAATTCAATCAGAAGTCGGTGACAATGACTTTGAAATTTTGGCTTTGAGCAACAATGAAATAGCCATTGACTTGCTGATCCCATCAGAAAACTACAATTTTGCTGCTAGTGATAATTACAATGATTATGTAAACGATCACATTCCTCATGTAACTTATGACCAAATAAGTGAAGAAGAAGAAGAAAATGAAGAAAGTGAAGAAGAAAATGAAGATGGAGAAGAAAAAGAACAATTCCAAATTTCTGATGTAGATATTAACTTGAATGATATAAAAGACAAAATAAATGAAACAGATATCGTGTCACAAATTGAAACTGAAATCTGTGCTGAAAATGCTTCTCTCAACAAGAGCGGACATTTTATAATCGACTCTCATACGAATTTAAAAGAATCGGAATTACCTACACCTGAAAATATTTCTCATCAATCAGACCATGTCCAAGACGATTATATCAAAGAATATAATTTGGAAAACCAGCAAATTTCTAAAACTGAACAATCATTACTGGAGAAATGCACACACCCTGAAGAGAACATTACTGGTGAATTCAATGAATTAAATGATTTTCATAACGAATTCTTCCCAATGATTCCAAGGATTAATGAGGAATTTACAAGTTCAATCAAACCAGAACATATGCATTGGTTTAACGCTGCTCCGCCGCCACCCCCATCACCCGAGGATGATTTTACTGAACAACTCATCAAGAAAGTATCTGAAATGGAAAAATCTGTTGAAAAAGAAGAGGTAAGTATGTAAGTTTTTTTTTTTCATCTCCTCATCTCACCAGGCAGGATTGGCGCATACTACCCCCAAAACTCCCCTTGTGAGTCTTGTTATCTTATCAATATTCACATTTTCCTATCTACATTTATATATGTTACAAATTAAACTAAGCACAACTGACTTTAAAAAGTATGAAAAGATTTTGTGGATTTTTATGTCAGTGTCGGGTATTTTGTTTTTAGGTGTTATTTTTTTTTTTTTTTTTTTTCCATCCAAATCCATGAATTTGTTCTGCTTATGCAAAATCTAGGAAAAATACCATATAAAATTCATTATTTTTTATCCATGATGTTGAATGTGTTAAAATTATTCAACTTTTTAACAAGAAAAATCTGAACTTCACTGCCATATTCACGTTTCGGCTGTTATATGCTCCAGCCTTCTTCAGGTGATTGGAATTTCAAACCAAACCCTTTATTTCATCCACCAGGGTAGATTGTTCTAGTTTCACTTGCTATGCCTCTTCCAGATCTCTCAGTTATTTCCCTTTAACTCAACTCTCCAAGTTTTGGTTCACCACTGTGGCCTGGTATTGAACTCACAACTCTTTGGGTCTAGTCAGAGGATCTAACCAACGTCCTTATCCATTGGGCCATGTGTTCTTGAGGAGCATACAATGGCCAAAACATTGAATATGGCAATGATGAGGATAACAGTTTGAATAATGTAAATAATACAAGTAATCATATTACCTCATCTCAGAGATATAGAGATCAAAACATTGTGAACATGGCAATGAAGATGAGGATAACAGTTTGAATAATGTAAATAATACAAGTAATCATAATACCTCATTTCAGAGATATAGACAGAAAAATCTCAAGTTGATTTTCGAAATTGCCACAAAACATTGTTGATTTATTTAAGATGGCATGATCTATTATGACATGTCTCTAATTTTTATTTAGATACATTGTATTTATTTTCAGTTTTTCTAGTTGAATTGTTCAGCTATATTGCATATATGAAAAATATGGTTTACGGTCAGCCTACAGGCTGAAATTATCAGTGTCTCTCAATTTCCTGTTTGCCTGACTGACAAACCCGAAATGAAATATAAAATGTATACTATAGTTTATTGATGATTACTTGTTAATCTCAGAATTTCAAACAAAAAATCTTTTTATTTTGCAGTTGGCTTTGAAACACTTCTCTTATAAAGAACTGAAAGGTAAGTGAAAACATTTTCTTCTGCTTCATTGTTGTCATTGATATTTTGATAAACTGTAAATCTCTTTGAACAAAAGATATTAATAATTCCTGATTTCCAGTGTATTTTTATATATAAATTTTATATTATATTTTTTTATATATTATGCTCGTTGTTAACAAAGAACCAGTATCAACAAATATGGTGGCTACTTAAATGCAACAACTCCAGATCAAGGGAGATAATCAACACTCCCTATCTTTCATTTGTTATCCTTTTATTTAATGTTTGGGGCTAATGTTTTCCTTGCTGTAAGACATCACACAGACTCTGATGATGCTGTAGCTTTTGTCAAGGGGTCAGCCAGTTGACTTGTGTCAATCAGCTTTACCTCACTGAACTCTTTCTTTGTCATCATATCCTTTATCATGGCTTCATCTAGTATCAACCTCTTTTCTTCAAGGGTTCTGGAAAAATATAGGGAATCAACGAGAGATTTGTTGTTTTGCCTTCACTTCTCTGAAGAATTTCTTCTAGAACTGTTTTCAAGTAGAATGCTTTTTTCACTTGCTTCTGGCAGGGCCAAACATTCAGCTGCTAGTGAACTCTTTACGATCCTCATTATATTTCATGATTGCCAATGAACAAGGCATGTTCCACTCTTTGTCAGCAAGCAATATCAGGTATCCCCCTTTAGAGGCACCACCCGGGAGTTTTTTAAAGGAATAATCAAAAAATATTAATATTGTAGACTTTTCCACACTGTCTAATTTGTTAATGGTCAAGGTCAGTCTATTCTACTTGACTTCCAGGATAACTTTATTTGCTGGTGATATATTTGAGACTTTGGTTTCTTTTTAAACTGTTACTCAGTTGGCAAGTATTGAAGGATATATCTGATCTTGTTTGATTTGCAATCCAGAGCAATTGCGCAGTGGTTGACTAAAACTCATCCTTTTCCCTCTTAGATTCCTGTTTTTATTTCTACTTCCTTCAAGCCATATTGGTCCAAGGGAATCTTCATACTTTGATTAATTCAAGCAAATATCTTCATTCAATTGATTAATATGAATACCAAGGTATTTAAAAGCTTTTTGCTGTTCACTGCTGATATTAAAATTTTGTCTTTATTTATTACTGAAGACTTGAATCAATCAGTTCCAGCCCAAAAGAAATCATCTACATGAGCTGACATAACACCATGCAGATGTCCCTCACAATAGTAGAAAAAATGGCTTCATCATATCTGCTCTCTCTCATCCGTAAGGAAATCAGCTCCCAAGAAATACACAAATACCACATTCTTGCTGCTTCATTGAGAATGTACACACATTTTCTCAACTGCCAAACTTTATCTATATTTGCCTCAGGTGGTGTCTTCAGAAATACATTTCTGTCAAGTTCTTATCTCTGTAGGTATGCACTTTCTATGTCCAGCAAATTGATTTTCCCTCTTTTTGATGTTGCCACTGCTATTATAACCCTAAGATTCATTTTTGAGTTGATTGGAGAGTTTAATCTAATAATCTCTTTATCTTCAATAACACTAGCTTTTTATTTTAACATTCTTTTCTGTAGTCACCAATCTCACTAAGATTAATTTCTGACCCATGTCTTTAACTTCTTTAACCCTAGAACACTAACCATCAATTACAGTTACACCACTACTAACCATGGGTATATTATACCCGATTTTGAAAATATCAAAAAAATATTAAATATAAATCTTTATTTTAAGTATTTTACATGCAGGCACTTCAAACTTTGTACTTTGAGTTAACATTAATTGGAACTGAAAAACATATTATTTAGGTAAGAAAATCAGGTACTGAAAATTGTAATTAAAAATAGGAAAATTTGCGCTGGGTACTATATACCCATGGTTAGTGTTCTAGAGTTAATGAATTCTTTTAGAAACTTTCAATAAAATCTTTAACTTCTTTAATGTCTTTGTCTATTGGAATCTCTCTGTTTCTTGAGTTCTTTAAACATTGCCTCTGACGTTTCTGGAGAATAACTTCTTCAGTCTCCTTCTATTCGTTGATAGTTTTATTCCAATCAATATTATGGCTTTAACTAAGATTTTGTAATAAACATTTAACCAGTCAGCATAATTTCCTGTTGCTTTACTGACCTGGAAAATAACACATTTAGTCCATTCATCATTTATCGTTCTTACTAGAACATGTTGGTTGCTTTTAGGGAGTTGGCTAAGAAGGTATCACTCAATACTTATGCTTCATCATGGTCCATCGTCTTGAAGTACATCAGGTTGATTAGAAACACTAATTACATTGGTCTCTGATGATTCCTCAATCATATCCTCATCACTAATCGTCTCTGCTGCCATAGAAGCTCTTGAAAATATTTCGGCTTTGCTTAGTGAATTCTTATTTGCATTGGTGTTGGTTTCAAATTCTGCATTCTCCTGCATTAAGCAGTTTGGATGAACCCTTATGTACACTGATCCATGTTTCATCATCACCATTTGACCGTCCACTCCAATCACACAACCAATTCCCTTTCATGCTGACATGTCCTCTCTTAAACTGTATTTCCATTTTGGTATATTTTTAGATGTGAAATCTCTTATTTTTTCTCAAATGTACAGGTTTGTGTTTAAAATAAAAATTGGGCATCTACAAGTATCCACTATAATAGCGTTTGAAGTAATATATATATATATATATATATATATATATATATATATATATATATATATATATATATATATATATATATATATAATGAAATGAACAAAGTCCGATAATTATTTTTAAGACATTTCTATGTTTATACATTCTTTTTATAGATACAAATATTTAAGTAAATGCTCTGTTTATAATAAACAGTATTAATGACATTTACCAGCCTGAAGGTCCGAGAAATTTTCATAGAAAATATTCGTCCTCCGACAGGATTCGAACCTGTATCAGGTTAAATGATGGTTCCGTATAGGATACAGGTTCAATTCTTGTCGGTAGCCATTATTGGCGTTGTGTGCATATATTCGCTGCAGAAAGCTAAGAAGAGAACGTAGTTAGCAGCCTTGTTTATTGATTTTTCTTGTCTCAATTACTGCACAAGAGAACTATATTGCGTGCGCAATAATCAATACAAGTGAATATCCCACTTATAGCTATTCCGCATTGAATGTATGCAAACAACGCAGTAATGGCTGCGCGCGACGCGAATGAATCCGAAATTTTACTGTCGATAACTTCAAAACGGTAGATTTTATCAAATTTATCAAGCCAGATTCGAATGAAGCATGTACAGTTACACATAAATGTAAGTATTCTGGAAATTTTTTAATGCGAACTGGGTGCGGGTGCTAAACTACAAATTAACAGTTGTTTGTTTTTGTGTTATTTTACACGGACTGGCATTGAGTCTGCCAATATTTTCCAGGAACCTGTAAATATTTACTATTCAAAGTGTTGATCCCCGCAACATAATGGTGACTAAATATTTACCCAAACATCCCAGTATCGCAACAAGATAAACTCAATAAATAAAACAATAATAACGAATAAAAGTAAATAAATAAATTCATGATACCCGTTATAAAGAAATCGGAAAGGGTTTCTAGTCAAATGTGCGATTTTATTAACCCCACTTCCGGAAAGGAGAGAATCTTTCTCTTTCCACTCTTGGCTTCAAGATGTGAACCACGCGGTCATAGCAGCTTTCTCACTAGGAATGTTAGTTTCTCCGGTCCACTGATGACTGAACTTTTCCACTTTCGAACAAGATCATTCTGGCGTGTTTTCAGCAGCAAGACTCATGAAATAGAGATTCGGTCATTCTAGCACAGCACAAGGCTGACTTGAACTTGACCATCTTTACCAGTTGTTATCCTTACGTAACGCTGGTATGACCGGCTATGACTAGCCTCGACAAGCTCTGACTAGCATAGACAAACGACCCGAGTGTTTCCACTAGGGTCCCCATGTTAAAAACCGACCTGGCTCAGTAGAGGGTGGTGGAGCTAAGGTAAATCTCGGACATATTGATAGCAAGAGAAGCAAGGGGAAATAGAGGGTAAAATACTTAATGGATTTGTGTGAAAATATGGCAAACCCAGGAAAAAGAGTCACGATAAAGAGTCAAACGTTAATTAGAGCAAAAAAAAAAAAAAAAAAAGGTGAGAAATCGTGACGGGATATGATTGTTCACGTAATGAAAAGACTAAAACAAGAATATTCGATTTAAATTATTTTTTGTTTTCATTTCAGGAACGGACGAAAATGTTTTAAGACAGCGGCCCCTAGCATCACAACCTGTAACTATTGATCAAGCTGCAGCTGAAGACAAGGGACCTGCTTACATTACTCGGCCTTCTGTAGAGGTGGATCAGGAAGACGAAGAAGTTCCGCTCATAAAATTCGTCGAATATTTCATTTATTCCATCTCTCTTCTGTCAATATTATTTTATGTCTATCGCCTGTTGAGTTGGCGTCCATATTGAGTTCTCAGAATCCAAATATGGGCTCTTTTTTCTTTTCTTTTCTTAATTTTTCGTTGCCAAAACAAAAAAAAAAGAATATATTTTTTTCTTCCCTTTTGATTGTGATATATTTTCTCTAATATTTGCTACATTTTGTGTGTGTGTGTGTGTTTTGGTTTAGGGTAAAGGTAATCGCGTTAGCATCTGCTTTAGAACCACTCCCCTTCAGCCCTTTTTCTAGGTCAGAAATATTATGTTCACTTGTCGCAAAGATCGCCAAACTGTTTGCTTTTGTGTTTTTTGTTTTTGTTTTATTAACAGCAGGACACTTAGAATCAGAAAGCTTCAGCTGAAATTTCTTAAGATGCATAATGAGGAAGAAAGCTTGTAGAATTGAACATTCACAGGACATATCAAAGACAAAAGGAGCAGATGGGGGAAGACAGCGGAACTCCTACCCGACGAGCTTAATGTTAATGGATGGCAGAATAGTGTGGTAAAAGAATGGTAAAAAGATAAATAACTAAAAGCTACAAAAGATTGATACAACCACCCACATCCTGAAGTGACAAAGTAGACAGAAGGGGAAGAACACAAAGTCCTAAGTATGGAACCCTTATTGAATACTACTTAGTATAAGGAAACATTGAAAAGTTTTTGTCCTCTTCAAGAAGCATCTACAAAGTCTCATCTTTTGTTTATTTGGTCAGATTCGAGTAAATTGGTCGAGACTAGAACTTTTCTGTCTTTTTGACAAGAAAAGCTTGCTAACCATGACGAGCCTTATGGATTAATGATATTCACATTGCCAATATTTTTATGGCAAATTATTCTGATTAGCTTTGGTAGCTTGACTTCATGAATTTAAGCGCAGTACTAGATTGGTAGTTTGGTCTCATCATTTTACCGTTGAAATTGCTAAATTCTATTTGCTAAGATATATTCTAATAGCTTATTCTCTCGCACTTCTTGCTTGTGGAAATCTTCCTTTTTTTTTTTTTTTTTTTTTTTTTCGCAATCAAAGGGTTTCTCATGGACACTTCTTACCCCCACCTCTTAATTCATTTCGATGCTGTGATCCCAGCAAAAAAAAAATTTTAATTTTTAGTTCAGTTTCAACATACTTTTGTGAACGAAATTAGAGGTTATGGCGGCTTTGTTTATCAGTAGAAACAGATACATTTGTATCTAAAACGTTAAAATCTTGATTTTGGTACAATATCTTGAGGAATATAGCAAGGAATATTTTTTTTTGCTATGTTAGTTCTATCTGCAGTGACACACGGACATTTTCAAAACGGATTGTTGGCCATAGCTGTAGCTATGAGAAAAACGTTGTCTGGATTTTACAATTTTTCAGTAAATGGCATCTTTTAATGCAGACATTTTTCAGATCTCCTTTTTTTTATCATTTTTTTTTTTTGTCTTAAGGGTTTCCTAACATTGTTTTACAGCGAACTTCTCAAAATCCACTGATGTTTTCTTTGAAATATATATTTTTTAAATTTCTTGAATGTATTAAATATTTATGACTACATTTTTTTAAAAATAACATCGAAATTCTGAAAACGGAATAAAAATCTATCTAAAAAAATCTAACCCCCACAAAATAAATTTATTCATCAAGAAAATAATATTCGCAGTTTTTCATTCAGTTCATTCTTTAATTCTGGAATTCTTAACAAAAAGAATTCTCGTTTTGCTTACTTACTCTTAAATATTTCGACACGAAGGAAATATGCAAGTGATTTATGTCAATGAAAATCTTAAGGGCTCAGGTGATATATATTGGAAGAAGGCCAGTGTGTACAACAGCCGAAACATCGTAAATATGACAATAAAGATGAGGACAATAGTCCAAACAATGTAAATAGTTACAATGTCTCAGAAATATAGACAGATATTGAAGGAAAAATTAGCTATGAAATTTGAAAATAGATACCTTTGGTTTAGTATTCCCAAAGGTTAGCGGTAAGTTTTTTCTTTCATTTAAAGAGATTTGTGAAAATCTGGAATTTTTTTTTTTTTTTTTTTTTAAGAAAGGCCGATAATGACGGATTTAAATGAATCCTTCGAAGAAGTCAAAATGAAAAGGATTATCCACTCTTTGAAATAACAAAGACTCAACTTAGACATGGAAGCTATGTGCTTGGTGTCTGTAGCTTTTTAAAAAAATTAAGATTTTTCTTTTTTAAATACAAAAATAACTCGCACATTATTCTTCTGTTAACTTGCAGCGTACCTGGCTACCCTTTCATGGAGCATCAGTTGAGAAACGCTATAGGTTTTATTTAAATAGAGCATTTTTGTATTTTGGACAAAGTTTCATTCATTCAGAAAGTTCTACTGTAAATATTACAAACGCCTTCTCTTAAATGATCCAGTCTAACATCTTAAGATTTCCATTTATTGAAATGACTGGAATATTTTCTTCGTGTCGAAATATTTAAAATAGGGAAGCATTAACAGAATTCCTTTTTTATTTTTTATTTTTTTCAAGAATGCCAGAATTAAGAGATCGTAATCAATGAAAATTACCATATTCCAAGAATTGCGCAAGAAAACAGGAGTAGATTTTTTATTTCGTTATTACCGTTGGATTTTCATTCAGAATTCTTTCACCAGAAGATTAAAGAGTTAATTTCACAATTGGATTTATGATAACTATATCCCTGAGATTTTATGACTTAAATTTAAATTCTTTTCTCTCTTTTTAATTGACAGAAGTCTTTCATCTCCAAAAAAAAAAAAAAACATACGACTTTATTTTCCGAGCAACCATATCTCATTCGATAATTTATTTTAAATATTTATCAAATTGATGATTGCGATGTTCTTTACCATTTTAATCAATGTTGTTGACGTTATTTTTTTTAGTGAAAGTAATTCAATATTTCAAGGAAACTTTATTTTTTATGAATGCCTTTTTTTTATAAGAAAATTTGATGTTTTAATAAAGTTCGTCTTTCAGATTCACGCCAACAGAAATATAACAAATGCCGAAGAAATAAGAACATTATATGAAGCTTATCGGTCGAAATATTCAAAATAAATATTCCAAATAGATAAAAGAAATTCGGCTTCAATGTGATGTCTAATATGAAAATTTTTCAGATAGCTATATACATTAACCCTTTGATCCCTGACCACCGATTTACCGGTGGTAGAGAAAAATGACGTAATGCCCAGCCGGCGGTTGAACGGTGGGTAAACACTTGTAACTTTTTACATCCACCGTGAAACATTACATGCCAATCATTTGCGAAATTTTGACTCGGGAGCTCAGGCAGAAGGGTTTAAATTGTTTAGGAACGCAGAGTTCAAAGGATTAAACAAATAAAGCACTTTGCAATCGAGTAATGGCTAACAAGCAAGAAATCCCTTTGGGGGCCCTGCACCCGTGGCTTTGTACCAGGTTATGTTTTGTAAATGCCTAATTCTTTTTACTACATTTTTGTACAAATTCAATATATATATGTGCCATGTCCCTTCAGAGCGTGGGCAATGATATCTTTCCACAACCGCCTATCCTTTGTAGCCCTGAGCAACATTTATCTTTTTGCCAAGCCTTCCAACCCCCATTGCACCATCCATACACACAAAATATTCGGATAAGTTGCCCGCTACCCTCCGTTATCTCTTTTCCTGTGTGTGTATATCCCCGCTGTGGCACAATATGCGGACTTGTGTGCAAGTCACTGGCGGGATTGAAGTGTACATACAACGCAAACATAAAAACTGAATGAGGTTGTCGGATCAACATATGCCGAAATCGACGGGAGAGTCCATCATATATACAGGATGAGGCAAAAGGCGTGCACTATAAGGATAATTTATTAAAAGTATAATTACACATGGAAATTTTATTTACTAGTTACTTCCCCGGCATAGACGTGTATATACGGCTTTACCGAAAATATCTTTTTCAAACGCAGACAAATAAACATGTCCAAAACAGTGTTCAAAAACCAGCTACAGACGTGTTTATACGTCGATCTTGATTCTTTTTATGCCCTTCTGAGCTTGAAACGAGTCTAATTATCAACTCCTGTGTCTGGTAAAGGTGTTAGCCACTGCTCAGATACTTCAAGGTGGCTCAGTTTCTTAGTTACTATATTAAAAACCAAATAAAAAAAAATTACGTCTGAAAATTAAACGTTTTCCCGAAAGAATTGGCAGGGAACGGCTTAACTGTTATGTGCTGTTCAAAATGTCCTCCTTTTTCAAAGCACATTTCAATTCTGTGCCTTCATGATTCATTAACGCGTCAAAGAGTTTCCGCTGCATCCATATTTCATTCTTTCTTTAAATTCCTCAATATTTCTTTAGTTTTTCAGCCATCTTACTTCGTCAAAATAGTTTCTGCAAAATAAGAAAATATCAAAACAAATTAGACATTTAAAACATTAATTAATTAATTGACTCCTATGATACGCAACTTTTGCCTCACTATATCTTGCGACTTTTGAAGACCTAATTTTGAAGTTAATTTTAAGGAGGTCGCATACAGGAGATATAAAATTAGCGTATGTACTGCTGGCCCTGACTACGCCGTTGACCAAACTATATATCCAGTTACTGTAGTCAAAAGGTACAGCTGTATTTAAAATAAAAATCGCACGTTATACACACACACACACACACACACACACACACTGAGGTCAACAGCCTGTCTCATAACTTGAATGCAATATTCAGGCCATGGCCTGAAAAATGTGTTCAAGCATAAAACAGACTTTCAATGTTGACTTCAATGTCCACTTTTATGTTTACATATATTCTATCCCTGATACTGATCACTTTAAACCATAATTATAGCATACCATGCGCACTTCGAGCCGGTATAATGGTTAGCAAGCTTGTTTTGCTAGAAAAATTATGACTGAGTAGTGAGTTCGATCCTCACTGGGTGCCCCATATCTTCGGCCTTATGCCACATATTTTAAAACTATATTTTTAATCATAGTATTTATGACGCATCATAAATATTTCCACATAATGATGAGGTTATTAGTGGCAAT